CCAAACCCAAACCCAAACCCAAACCCAAACCCAAACCCAAACCCAAACCCAGAACCCAAACCCAAACCCAAACCCAAACCCAAACCGGAACCCAAACCCAAACCCAAACCCAAACCCAAACCCAAACCCAAACCCAAACCCAAACCCAAACCCAAACCCAAACCCAAACCCAAACCCAAACCCAAAACCAAAACCAAACCCAAACCCAAACCCAAACCCAAACCCAAACCCAAACCCAAACCCAACCCAAACCCAAACCCAAACCCAAACCCAAACCCAAACCCAAACCCAAACCCAAACCCAAACCCAAACCCAAACCCAAACCCAAACCCAAACCCAAACCCAAACCCAAACCCAAACCCAAACCCAAACCCAAACCCAAACCCAAACCCAAACCCAACCCAAACCCAAACCCAAACCCAAACCCAGAACTAAAAATAGAATTCTTCTAAACCCAACCTTCAAACCCTAGCCCAAAATTATAAACTTATTCAAATATCATAAAATTTTATATCATTCGATTGTAAATGATGAGTAGAACAACGTAGTATATTTAGTTTTTCAATTTATAAAATATTAACTTTGTAAATAATGTCAGATTAAAATTTGTAAAATGATACCATAGGAAGAAAGTTAATTTCAAAATCCTTTAATGAGATTATATAGTCAATATCATCATTAACAACATTCATAATCACTCTCATATCTAATTTCAAAAGTTCAAGTTTGTAGACACAAGAGTATGAAGTGAAAAGGGAAGTTGTGAGGTAAAAGAGGTCAACTATAACTTTTGAGTTTCTCATCAAAACATATTGAATCCTAATATGAAAATGTTCCATTTGATGAGTAAACATCGAATATCAAATTTATTTTAACTTTCATATTTAAAGATTTCTTCCCTCAATCACACATGGTCTACTATGATGAAAAGGATGAAATCTTGAAAAAGGACCACCTATTGAAACTTTACCAAAATGATGTACATGATCTATAATGATATAGAATTCAATTTCATGTCCTAATAATCAGAAATGGTATCATGGGAAGGTATATGTTGATATTTTTTGGTTGACTTTAGAGAAAGACAAGTCAGACCAACTCTATCAAATACATAACCAACCATATATAC